TGGAGTCCGTCAAATTTATAAAGAAAAATTGTCATTTTCTTACCGCTTTAATAAGGGCTAATTATTTCTTTCAAGTGTTGTCTGCAATAGCAGGACCTTGTTCCTACCAATACCCGTTTCATCTTAGTTCATCTTCAGTGCCCTCCCTATTTCTTCCTTCGTGCTAAGGAAAAGCTCCATTATTTGACTTGATTCACATGGCCGCGAAGTCAGGGCTGCATTTTCCTTCTCACTGCCTTCCACTCTCCTTCCAGTTTTCTGCTTGTGTTCCAGTTCTTCCCTGTCTCTTTTCTCTTCCTTCCGCCCAGGCTAAACCTCTGCTTCCTAGACAATGCATTTATAGGCTGAAATGCTTTTGGTCTGTATTTGTACTCTTGTTTCCCTGCACCCGCGCGCATACCTCCACAGAAAGTATAAAATGCTAAGATAAAAAAAATCCCCAAAAACAATCAGTAGGAGGTTAGTGTATAATCACAGCGGCTACTGAGATTTTTAATTATTCTTTGATTTCTGATGTTACTGAATATTTCATACTGCCTTGTTCTTGACCATCTTTTTCTTGTAACGCTCACTCTTGCTCTCAAATAAGTAAGGGCTGAGAACAAGGTGGGGTTTTGCACACAGGATAAATCATTTCTGGAACTCCAGCTTCTAAATTACCCTCCACTTCTGTCTTGGGCTCTTACTCACTTTCTGCCAATGAGGTTGCCTATCAGATCACGAAATTGGAAGAAATCTGATTTTCTAGTATGTGTGTAATTATTTGTGTGTTACTGAAAGGAAAGAGTAGCGTAGTTGCTTTCATACAGAGTTTCACGTGGTGCTTGTAATTCCGTAGAAAAATTGAGAAATGAGTTGGAAGGCAGATGATTTGGCAACATCTTCTGACGATCTGCATCGCGAACTGCGAGGTCTTTCCACAAGTACTGGAAGAACTGATGCTAGTGCTGGAGTTGGACGGTGATTGATTTGAGCCAGCGATACTGCCTTTATGTCCTTGACTTACTTTGCTGGCCTGTAGAGCTTCCCGATGGATGTGGTTTATATTCCATGGGCAGGTCAGCAGACACAGCTCTACTAGATGTTAGTACTGCCCAGAGAAACTTTGCTGGAACCATATTCTGTAATATCAGGTGGCTCCTAGCAGAAAGCTTCATGAAAACGTGTGTTCCACTGCAAATTCATTTTGGAAGAAAAAACAGGAAAAAGAGCAATTTGGCAGTACGGTTCAATTTCTCCCTTCTGGGGTTGATGTTGTAATATATCTTGTAATGTAGTACAACATCAAAGGTATGATTGAAGTGCAACATTTTGATGGACCCAAAACAATTTTTTGAAATGTATGCTAGCAAAAATTTCCATTCTCATTCAGATTGAAATCAAGTCTCAAAATCTCAAAGATTCCCAAAGAGAAACTTCTGTCATTCACGTTCCTTTAACTCATACTATAGAAGGCACGAACAGATGCCAGTGAGTCAGGTTACCATCCCACTAAATTGAGCTGTTGCACACCATTCATTTAAAACAACACAAAACACCTTAATAAGCCTCTGGGCTTGGATCACAGAATGTTGTGTAATAGAATATATTCAGATATTCACTGCTGTTTGCTGTTCCCTGTCAGAGTATGTATAACACGTAAGTTAACTGTGGGCTTCTCATGGTAAAACTTCGAAAAGAAATGACTGATGTTAGTGAAAAAGGGAATATTGCCAATGGTCTCGAGCCAAGTGAAAGTAAAATGACGTGTCTGTGTGGTTTTATGTCTCTTGTGTGTGGAAACTACAGTACCTTTGTAGATGTTTTCATTGCTTACATTAACAGTTATCCAATAACATGATCTCATGATTATGTAGCAGCTCATCAGAGATTTTTACCTCATTTTCCACTGATTTAATAGTCTGTAATTTCCTAGATTTGATTGGAATTTGTTACCAGGTTATTTAATCAAATCCTTTAGTTTAGTTATATGTATATGAGATGTAGTGTGCAAAACTTGTCATTTCCTCACTGCATGAAGTCTGGATTTCTTTTTGCCTGCCTTTTCTAACACTGCACCATTATTTCTTACTGAACCATCCTACCACTTGGCTTGTGCTGACAATGCCATACAATGTCCGCAGTTTGGTCTGTGTCGTTTAAAAATACGACAATGGAGCCATTGCTGATCTGCAGTCAAAACATCTCTTCATTAAAATTCTTTGTTCTTTCCACAATCTTTGTGAAAAATAAGGCAATTCATACTTGAAATATTCTTACCCATCATGCTATCTAGTAGTCAAGAACTACTCACAAAAAGCCTTGCTAGGGTTTTATATCCAGTTTTTTCTCCCTCACTTCTTTCCTTGCTGGTTTCTTTTAGCTGCTTTTTATCGCAGTATATTCGGTTTGCACTTACTAAAAGAGATGGTGGAGCATAAAAGAAATTAAGAGGTTCTTTAACACCACGACGCCAGTTCTTGCAGCGGTGTTGGAGACTTGCATTCTGCCTATCCTCCCCAAGGTTTTTTTTCTGAAGAAGAATGTGAGCTTTCTCAGTACTTAGGTTTTAACATTCCAAGCGTATTTGCGTGTGTGTTAATAGTCTAGTCCACGTGTAGGCGTGTGCAGGAGAATTACAACTATTGCTTGCACAAGAGAGCTGCTCTACAGTCTGGTTGCTTGCATTTCTTTTTATTTCAAGCTTAGTCTTCCAAATTGATTTTCTGAGGTTTAATAAGGAGTTGAATGTAAGTTAAATGTACCGGTAAAATCTATCTCCCTTACCCGTTCAGCATTAAACTCACAAAAATCTGTATTTGAGAGCAGCGCCACTCTGGTTGAACTTCATCGGTATAAGGTTGAACTTTACCAAATGATGAATATACAGTGCAAAAATATAAACCTCTGTTCCTCAGAAAACAAGTTTTTAAAAGTAGAAGTCAGTTTTCAAAGTGAAGTCAGATTTTCCATCTTGATAAAGTCTCTTAAACTTTGCCCTCCTAGAGTAACCGGTATTAGTAGTAACCATACCACTGTGCAGGAGTTTGTTTGCTCCGCGCTGTTTTAGTGTAACTCCTATCAACATTAACAAATACTGAACTCTGGGCTTATTTCTGGACTGATAGATAAAGGAGAAACTGTTTCACATACTTTTGCCTTTGAGGCGTACGCAAACACTGCTTGTGTTTGAATATTCTTACTAGAAATACATATTCTGCTTGTTTTTAATGTATTATTCTTCTGTTACTATTTACCATTTATTATTATTAGTTCGCAGATGTACTGCAATATGGCCAAATGATCTCATTGAGGTTTATTGTAATATAGATGCATTAAGCATTTGACAAGCAAAGGATAGGCGCAATCACAGACGTTAGAGCTGGAGGAGACTGCGTTGCAATGAGACCTGTGGGGGGTGCGTGTCTTACATGTAATCCGCGAGCTTTGCACCAGCCGATCTTGATTATAGGCTTAGGGCCCAAATTCCTCTTTACTTAAATGTACACATTTGGCCAAAGCGAACGCCAAGTGTTACAAAGATTCCTGGAAATCAGCATTAGACCCTTAAAAGGTAAAGGCCCCCCGTGTATATGAAACGTGAGAGCATTGCTTGTAAAACCGTAATCAGTTTCCTTTAATTTGAAGTTAAGAGTTGGGTTTGGGTTTGTTTTAAGCAGCAGATCCTTCAGTGAAGGAAAGATTAGAAGGAAAGTGGCTTGATCTTGACACGTGTTTAATTTCCTCATGAATACAGGAGTACGCTGAAGGCAAAACAGTGTAAAGCAGCAATATGACATCATGTCCCGCGGTCATAGGAAAGGAAGAGAAATGGCTGTTGCGCCAGCTGAGGAATGACAGAATACCTTTGTTACGGCTGGTCTTCTGACAGCCGTTCAGCTGTCACCTTCCTCTTCGCCTTCCATTTTACGAGTTGTATTTGTGTCTCTCTCTAGCTCGTAAGCAGGAGATTATCAAGGTTACCGAGCAGTTGATTGAAGCTATCAACAACGGGGACTTTGAAGCTTACACGTAAGTGTTCTCATTTAGGAGGGAGTGAGGAGAGCTGATGTATTTGACACTGTATACGTAAATATGCATATTTATATACGAGTGTCTGTGTTTGTATTGATGTATTGTTGAAGTTCATTCTCGGATCCCCCCCAGAAACACAAGACGTGTTCATTGCTGCTTTGCCCCGGCTTTACACGAGCCTGGTTGCCAATTTCAGAGGAGCTGCTCGTGTAAATCCGACGTGCTACTCAGCCGAGACAGGATCGTAATCCCGACGCAAAGTATGCAGTGATCTGTCTTGGTGTAGGAAAGTAAAGTCATGTTTGTGACTGAGGATCCAGAAAGTACAGTAGAAGCCCCTTTTAGCAGAAAATTTTTATTGTATGTAGAGGTTGATATTAGCTAGAATCCCGTTTGTACTTCAGAGCGTGAAAGACCATGTGGGATTTAGGTTCCAGCAGCCTCTACTGAGCACTGTGCAAGAATTTGCTGGGGGAAGGCAGACAGATTTCTCTCTCAGCTTTTCTCTGCAAAGACACAATTCCATCACTGCTTCTGTTCTCTTCCTACCTCAAAAAAAAATTCTAAAAAGCAGAGGAAAGCCCTTCTCAGCATTTGTTTCGGTCTCCTGTGTTTGTCTGGGTGGATTCTATCCTGTTGCAGCACAAGCCTCACAGTTCAACAGTGACGCTGCTCGTCCTGTTTAAAGACTCACCAGCACTAAACTTCAGTTGGTATGATCACTTTAAAACCTTTGTTGTACAAATGTCAAGTGGAAACTTATTCCAAATTCTTACCTAAATTTTGTCAGTTTAAAAAAAAAAAAAATTAAATCTTGCTTAAATAATGATGCAAGACATAAAAAGTATCCCTCGAATTGCACGGAAGCAGTTTTCAGAGTCACAGGTAAAAATTCCTACTTGTAATACCATTGACTTGTGGGGCCTTCTTTGGCAGTCTTTTTTTGGTGAGTCTTTTTTTTGGTCAAAAGATGATTTATATGAAATCTAGCCCACCTAAAGTAAGCAGCCAAATGTACTAATTTAGGTGAAACCAGAACTGCATCACTTCTCCCCATTTAAGTTCTGTTCTTTTCCAGTGTGATGGCACAGGTAAGTAACATGTCCAATGGGAAAAAAGAAAACATTTAAAAAGTAATCTCTCCAAAGTTGTGTCACATAACTGCATGTGTTTATTACAGAATTTCCTCTTTTCCGCAGAAAAATCTGTGATCCAGGCCTTACATCTTTTGAACCTGAAGCTTTGGGTAATCTAGTAGAAGGGATGGACTTTCACCGGTTTTACTTTGAAAATGGTAAACATTCCTTTTTCCTCTCTGTGAATCTTCATCTGTTCCTTGTGATTGTCTTTCTCCGGTTTAATTAGCATTTTGGTTTTGAGAGTTCATTGATTCGGGCAGGGGAAGGGAGTATTATTTTTTTCAGAGTTCTGCTGTATGTGTTTTTCTGTCTGTTTCTGCTGCGCTCATTCACCCATCCTAGGGCACCTTGGATAGCAGAGGAAAGTTTCAGGTATTTGGAAAAAGAAAGTCAAGAGGTACAAAAGAAAAAACAAACAAACCATAGATAAGTAATTCTCATACAGGTTTTTTTTCCATTGGGGGAAAGAGATAATCGTGCTGTGAGTATACTTAAAAGAAAGGTCACTAAATCGTGTGATTACAGTGATTACAACTAACAGTCAGCACTTCCAGTGAGTATGTGATGTATTGGGGAAGACATTGTAGTCACTCAGTCTATACTGCCGAGGACCTGATCGGCTGTCTTTTTTGTATTGGGGTGGGGGGGGGTGTGTGTGTGTATGTATATGATGTATATGAAAACATCGGTATATCTTTTATATATATATATTACAATCATGTCAGCTATAAGAAAGAAAAATTACCCATAGAGTGGATTTAGTAAGGTTTTGGACGATCATGTAATATAGGTAATCATTTTGGAGTAGACTTGACTCAAAAGGAAATAAAATACTGTAAATTAAGATATCAGCTTATCCAGTAATTTCTGAGAAATGTCTGAGCATAAAATGGGATTATCATATTCCTAAATTCTCGTCCATCTCCAAAACAGCATTTTCCATATTTTTCCTTAAAATGTTTCCTTTCGTTACCGCTGCTTTTTAGTTCACTTAATAAACACTTAATAAAATATGTCACAAGAGTGAGTTAAAAGCTGAATTATTTTAACTGAAAATATTAAGTACAAATGTCATTAGACATTAGACAGAGCGGTGAAACTGAAGTGGAAAACTCAGTTGGGAAACTCAAGATGGTGGCCCCCGCTTTATTTAATCCATGTACGTACATGGATTAAATAATATGCGCTATTAAACATTTGATTGGTTTCCTTATAGGAAAGGGGAAAACATATTTATGCTGTGACACTGCTCAATTCTACAATGTATTTGAGCTAGTTGTCAGTCATGATTATCTGTAAACGATAATTACTGCTTTGTATCTGCTAAGCTTGTGATTTTTGTTTTGTAAAATGGCGTGAGATGAGTTCTTTTGGCTTACATAGAGAAAATTTCATTTACCCTCTGTGTGTGTGTGTTTGTTTCCTAGCTTTATCCAAAAGTAATAAGCCAATCCACACCATTATCCTCAATCCTCACGTCCACCTTGTGGGTGACGATGCTGCTTGCATCGCATATATCCGGCTCACGCAGTACATGGATGGAAGCGGGATGCCAAAGACTATGCAGTCAGAGGAGACGCGGGTCTGGCACCGTCGTGACGGGAAATGGCAGAACGTTCATTTTCACCGTTCAGGGTCACCAACAGTACCTATCAAGTAAGAAACAATTCAGACCACAAGCTTAAACTATGTAGGTCAGACCCAGATAGTCTAATAGCTGCTTTTGGCCTTAAAAACTATAAAACTGTCCTCTTGATAGCCTAATTTCTTGTGGTCGTTTATGCAGTCTGTATTATATTCAGTAGTGTGCATATAGTATTGGTGCAAATATTTTTAAAATAATGCTTTTGTTGTTGTTGTTTTGAACTGTGATGCCTACTGATCCAGCTCAGTCCCTGAACTGACAGCTTGAAGAGCAGAAAAATGTTTTAATGTAGATAAGGCTTGATTGATACAAGTCACACAAAATAAGATTGGAAAACCTGAAATAGAATTTCAGGAAAACCTGAAAAAATAAAAAGCAATAGGATACCTGGAGCTGTTAGAGCTGACCAGAAAGTTTCAAGGAAAAAAAGTATCACTGTTCTGAAAAACTGAAGTTTGAGTAATATTCGTTGTGATTTCCAGCCACCTCTACTTACTCAGGCCTAGTTACGTTCACTGCAAGTTGGTTTTGAGCCCGTTTATGTATTTACTTCATAAATTAAGTCATACAAGTACCTACCACATTATCTCTGTCCCCACACTCTCTTTGCTTTACTGCTGAATAGTCACTGTCCGATAGTTACGACATCTATGCGGGTAAGCCTCAGAGCTCTCCCGTCATCATTTTTCTCTTCTGTTCATTCGGGCACCTCTGCTTGCCCTCCCATACCCTCGGAGTCACGCCGTGACTCCACGCGCGCAAACCTGAATTCCTTGAGCCGGATTTTCAGCGGTGTAAATTACAGCACGCTCATAGTTGCAATAACAAGATAAAAGAGTCACGGCTTCTTCGAGAGGTTCTGCTCGAGTCCTTTGCTTTTCTTCTGCTTGCAGCCTTCGCTAATGCCGCTGCGTCCCTCAGAGCCCAACCTCGCTGACTTCTGGCTTAGGTTAGGCTCTTTCCAAATTAGACAGCACTGGTACAGGCCTTGGTTAGCTCAGGTGCAAACCCTCTGAATAGGTTATAATTACGTTTGTGTGAGGTGTCTCAATGTGGAGAGTGGCTGAATTTCCTGGCGTGAGTGACAGGAGCTTAGATTTCACCCTTCAAACTTCATCATGTCCCATATATTACTCCTTGCAACGCTGTTCTCCCATATGAAATAATACTTAATAAAGTAAGGAACATGATAGAATGAAGTGTTAAACTTCAGTGGGAATGAATTTTTTTTCTTTTTTTTTTTATTTAGGGAAAAAGTAATTCGATTACCTAGTGATAACTATTGTATTTTATTTAAAAATCTGAAACCAATGGGAGCAGAAACTATGTCGCCCTTTGTTTTTCACTTTCTAGCTGCACTGCTGGTGTTTAAACAGATCATGTTGAAAGAGTAGTTACATTTTCCTGAAATGCAGTGTTACATAGATTTTTGATGTTTTCATAAAGGAGTGTTTTGTCAAGGGATCTGACCTGCGTATGTGTAGAGCCAGAAATTATAAGTGACACATGTTCACCTGTCCCAGTGCACCCTGGACAGTAAGTGTTTACAGCAGAATGACGTGAAGTGGGCTAGAGAATTATTTAATCTTTTCCTTTGTTGTGTTTTTTTTTCCCCTCTGTTTTTGAGAAGGGCTTGAGGGGAGGGGGGGGTGTCAATTTTTTTTTTAACTTAACCATATTTATAGGAAACAATCCTAAAGAGAAAAGGTAATTTATGACACTCATTCTTAAACCAGAAGGCAACAAAATAGCTGTCTTATTACTATTTTTATGGAAGATTATAGAATTTGCCCAATAATTCCTGTAATAAGACTTTATAGAGAGATACTGAATAGCTTCTGCAGCTGCTTCTTTTTGAGGTACAGTGTTGTAACAGGAGCCTCAATACTTAGATCACGTAACGTGTACGTGTGCGATGGGCTGCTCTGTGCTGTGACAGGTACTGCTCCTATGAACCCTCGCCAGAGGTAGTTTCTCTGGAATATAAAGGGCATTGCACTGGCTGCCACAGACCAACTCCTGGCCCTTCAGACTGCACGTCTCACGGGAATGCAGTCGTACGTGCAGATCTGCGATTTGCCCCTCAGAAGCAGTGCCAGTATTTAGGACTTGTGTAACGTCAGTTCTTTACGGCTGCTCGTGCTCTCTAATAAAGATAAGGATTTCTGGGACTGCTAAGGATGGAAGGAGAAGAAGCTGAGAGGTAATTTTTTTCAGACTGCAGGGTTGTGTCTATGTCAGTGGGTGTTCTGAGCCTATGGGGTCAGACAGAGGAGATTTCAGGATTGCGAGAGGGTATCCAAGCTGAGAGGAGGGGTAGGGGCTCAAAGCCTTAGAGCATGGCTAAGGCGTAAGGAGAGATGCTCTGAAGTTGCAACGTAGCCCAAGATGTGTAGCCCCTATGTAGCACTGGCAACAACATCACATAAATCCCTTACCTAACCCTCATCTTGAATTCAGAGGGGTTTTTTGGACTTGCTCATATCACTGTTCTAAAATACCATTGGTCTGATGGTTAGAAACCTTACTTTCCAGTCTAAATTTTAGTCGTATTCAATGAACCCTTGATTATTCTTATTTCATCGTTGTTCTCCTATACTGGGGATAGGTATGCAGACGTGAGCTGTTTTATGTGAGGGCTGATTAGATCACTTCCCACCTTCTATTTTCGTAGGATAAATAAACAGTGCTAACTTAGTTGGCTTTTTTTGATAGTCTGTCCATCTTCCTGGCTACCTTAATAGCTCTTCACTGTCTTTTTTGGTTTGAGGTTTGTCTTTTCATTAGCTTGGGTTCTTCTGAAATACTGTGTACAATTGTGGTCAGGGCTTTATTTAACTTCACAATGTCTGCCTTTTCCCCGTTGAGAATGCCACACCTGCTCTGTTCTGGCATGATTTTTGCAGCAGATCATCTAAGACAGCCACGTATTTATCCTCAACTGTCATTTCCAATCGATGAGTATATAGAAACTTTTGCTGAGCATAGAAACTTTTTGCTGCAGCTTTGTACTTCCTATTATTACATATAACATTGCTGGATTACCCAGCCCTCAAGGTTATTTGGTTCTTCTGGCACAATACTCCTGCTTTCCTTTGTATTTATAGTGCCTTCCACCTAAGTGTAAGTATACTACATGAGATCAGTCCTACTGCTTGTGCTCAGGTCTTTGGCAAAGACTAGTGAGTCCCCTCTAGGCTGATAGTTCCCCTTTCAGCCCAAGCATTGTCATGTTTCTTCTAGTTATTTTACAGATTCTTTCTTTAATCCCCATCTTCTCAAGTTTAACTGGTAGATTCCCGTGTAGCGCCGTGCCAGAACTCGCCTTCCATAACCCATCCTGACCGTCTTTTAGACTGCCTTGAACTTCACCTTTGCTTTTCCCAGTCAGAGCAGCAGTGTACCAATAACTCTATTTTGGAAAACTACAGAAGAAATTTAATTCAAATATTGTTCTTGATTACCCTTCCTTTCTGTTCTTGTATTTGGAATTTATACAGTCTTCAGCTATTTATTTAATAGGAGTTAATAATGGCACTTCCGTAATAAAAAAATCTTACACATAATGTCTGAAGAAGAATTTCAAATCTAATAAACTTGCAAAAGCAATTATAGCTGTGATCTGCTTTTGCAAACATAATATCCTAGATTATGTCAAATCAGTTGCTGCGAGCACAGTAGCTTATTGGTTTTCAGGACTACAGTAAGGAGTGTGCATAAATCTGAGGACAGAACTGAGCTCTTTGGTAGCTATAGGTATATGGAAACATTTCCTTATGGCAGGTAATTTATTTGGAAAAGAATATGAGCACAAATGTATACTTAGTTTATAAATACATTTTAGTTGTCATTTTTGCTGCGAGTCAGACAAGACAGACTTTGGTTTCAGTCTTGTCCATTTTTTCTCTCTGAGTGATATGACTGATGGTAGGAAATTTTTTCTCTGTATTCCATGCTCTTAAGAACTTGAGCTCATGTGTTTCTGCAGAACTGTGTCTGCATTTACACAGAGAGTGGGTATGGGCAGTCAAAGGGCTGTTGGACCTAAAACTGACTCCCAAACCTAAATTCAGACCTGAGGCTCCCAGGCTTATGTTCCCTCACTTAACACACCTTACACCTTCTTATCCTTTCTTATGTTAAATACCGAACAGCAGGCAGACTTAAGTAAAGAGTGTGTTCTGTGTTTGTACAGTGCCTAGCACAGCGGGATCCCAGTCATGACTTCGGCCCCTAGATGCTACGGTAATACAAATGATATTATAAGCTGAGTTAGTTAACTACTTGCTTACACGTTCCTTTTCTTTCGTTTTCCCTTTGCATACGGCTCTAGCATGTCTTGCATGTAAATGACATCCGATTCTTCCTTGTTACTTGGTTCAATTTTTGTATGAGAATCTCAGTCCGTGGCAGTGTCTGTAATGTACATGCTGAGGAAGTAAGTTAAACTCAGAGATTCACATCTGAATTCGGCCCTCCCTCCTTTAAGAAATCCATTAAGGCACTTAGGCTTCCTGCCTCAGTTTCCTTTTTATTTTAACAGCCTCTCTGGCATGTTGTAAAGATGGAAAATGTCTGTAAAGTGGTTTGAAAAATAAAAGAATGCTTTGCCTGAGTGTTTGGGGGTTTTTTTTTTCCCATGGTTTTCTTCACAATATTGTGTTAAAGGATCTTGAGGAGATTTTTTTAAATAGTATTGGCTAACACTTGAGCATATACTGTTATCTGGTGGTGATGTTACTTCAGTAATGGCAATCTTTTTTTTTTTCTCTCCTTCCTCCTAGCTAAAAATGTCAGCGGTGCCGCTCTTGCATTTTCTGTACCCAACGCACCTGGTTGATTACCATCTTGGCCATCCCGTTCTCTTCATGCATGTTTCTGAGTGCATGAAGTTGTGAAGGTTCTTCATGTAACACATTTGTGATGCACCATGTTGCTGTATATTCCATCTGTACACTGTTAACATTTCAATGAAGGTGATGTTCCATGCAAATAGAGAATAACAAGGGATAAAAGACAAAAAAATATTTGATGGACAGCAGTAGATACAGAATACATTTGTCACTTTCTCCATTTATGCCAAGTTTGGACAGACAACTTTAAAAACTATCCTGTTTATTAAAAAAAAGAAAAAAAAAGAAAAAGTACATTTTATCCTCTTTTTTTAAGAACTGTTTTTTGACTCCTCCTTTTTCCCCTGAGTCCCAGGATTCTTCTTTGGTTCTGGTAGGAATGGCTAGGATTTCCGCTGGCAGCTCCGTTACTATAAAACGGGTTTTTATTACAGCATGTAGATGGACGAAATCACTGATAAATGTGGAAGTGATAATATCTTGGTTTTGTACCAGCTGAAGCCTTCTTACTTTATTAGGCTATGTAAACTGGAAAAATCTCATTATTTGCGGGCTTGGGCACTTCAGAATTAACTGTCGATGTTCTGGTGAGCCAGCAGCTTCTTTTTTTCTTTTGAGTCTTGACCTTTGCTTTCTTACTATGCTAACTGAAAATTTCTATTGGATTATTAAGCAAAATTTAAAATTGTAAGGAACTAAGTGATGATTGAGGGGCAGTTTTTGAGGATTAAAATGGAAGAATAGAGAAAGATTTTTATCGCTTTTAGGGTGTACTGTAGATTTTTTTTAAGGAGGCTTTAAAAAAAACATAAAATTTTGGTTAAGCTATAGACCAGTTGTGTGGTTAATATATTTGAGAAGTATTAGGCCTTAAAAGCTTAGTATTAAAAGTTTATTTACTTTACACTGCTGCTGTTGCTTCTCTGGAAATGTATTACGGATACACCAGTTTTCTAGTAAGACTCTAACACTTTACCACAGATCTGTTTCTCCCCTCAATCTGCTCTTGGTTTCTTAAAATCCTCACGCAGCGAACAGTATCAAGGATAACAATCTTTGCAGCATTACCAAATTGTTTTGGCCCCTGATGGGTTGCTGCGAACGCTGGTACGCTGCGCAGGGAATGCTCTCGGTGTCAGTTCAGAACACAAACTTTGTAACGGAACTATTTTTGCTTCCCTGATGTTGCCGTGAAAATACATCCTTGCAAGCATTTAGGTTTATTCCCTTCCACTTTTAATAGAAAAATACAGGGATCGGTTATTTCTTTTTTTTTTTTCTTCATTTGTTAATTGTTCTGTTACCAACAGGGCTAACTGTTTTCTGCAGCGCTGTACAGTGCATGATATCTCAATCAATGTCCTTTTTAGCGGTTAAAAATTTGCAGCAGCCTGAAGTTTTTAAAATGGGAAAGCTTCCTAATTTGTATCATTTCACCTTTCTGTGTTGATTACTAATCAAAAGCAGTTCTTAAACATGTTGATGTTGTTACTAGTGGATGTATGGTAGATGGATTTAAGCTTCTCTGATAATTACTACATGATTTTAAACAGTATGTATTTAAAATAAGCATCTACAATAAATGTGTTGAGCCATATTAACCTGCCAATGGGATCTGTGAAAAAAGTAATGGCCTCATTTTTTTCTCATTAATTTCTTTACTTTTTTTTGTGAAGCGGCTATAAGTGGCATAACTGTATTTAAAATTAACAAATTAGGTGTAGGGTGGTTTTTTTATACTTCTAACATAGCATGTGGTGTTGACGTATTACTGTAGACCAAGTTTGTCTTCCACACCAAGACGTGAGGAAATTGTGATTTGTTCTCTCCACCACAATTGAATTATACTCTTCTCTTCTGTCATTTTGGAACACTGCAGTTTACCATGGGACACAGTGTACATATTTCTTGCCATAATGGTAAATGATTGATATATTTAAGGATTAATAAATTTGTGATTTCTGCTGACATTGTGCTTGTGTTTTAATTTCCCAATTAATTGTGATTTTTGCATTGGAAAATGTGTCGTGTCTGTCTGAATTAAGAAGTCAGAGACACAGATGCAGTTTCTTACGAGCCAAATTTGCAGTTTGAAAAAACAAGTGTTTGCTTTTGTGATTTGACTTTTGGTTAGTTCTTAACTGCCTTTCCTGAGGACCCGATTGTACACCGTTTATGCTGTATTTTGTTGATATATTTTGCACATACCTTGTATTTATAGGTCTATATTTAGAAATGTTTTAGGTAGCTTGCACATTTCTGTAGCTGCCTTACTGTGTTTCATACGCTCAGCCTGTAACACAAGATGCTGTAAGAGCAGTTATTTTATGTTTAGCGTTGCAGACCATATGTTGCAGACCAAAATGCACTAAAGTCCATAAATAATTAGCATTTTAAATAATGTACCAGTTTAAAAGCTTCCATATATGTCTGCAGTGATTTTAGGCTCTCTTACCTTACGCTGAGCCACAACTGGGAACAGTCCTTTATACCAGCAGAAAAGAAGGGCCGAGGGGGCGGAGGAGAGGAGACAACTTCCAGCTTTCACGGGTCATGCGATGAAACGCAGAGCTGGATCACTTCTCGGGTTCTGTGCCAGCGTAGCTGCGAGCCAGACCTGTGGCAACCGTCCAGGAGTACCGCCTGTGGAAGGAGCGAGAGCGTATTCCTGGGTTTGGGAAAACGTCAGTGCTTCCTTTTGGGTGGCATTTTGCGATGTATTTGTAAACAAAAAGAAAAATAGTTAGGAGGGAGCTCAGAGGTTTGGAATGTTTCGGTAAACCCCAGAGGAAGCAAAAGTGGTTTAGTCTGTTGGGAGGTTTTGTATTTTGTCATATCACTTCTACCTACTTTGTTTACTCATTTTTTCCACTAAATGCTATTCCAGAAATCAGTTTGACTTCCATTTTAACTGTGCGCCTGCAGTAAGCTGTTTGACAGCAGTGGAATTGCTACTAATATCAGGTATGTAGAAAAGCAGAGAGATCAGTATATAAAGTGTAATGACGAGGAGGGGGGTGGGAAGAATACATTTGCTAAATATCAGGTTAAAGATTTGGGAGCGGGGTGGGGTTTTTTGGTGGTTTTTGTTTGGATTTTTCTTTTTAATTGTTGTGGATGTCCTTTTATAGCACAAATATTTTAACATGCTGCCTCCTGGTGGCTTTTTGTAATGATGTTTTCTACTTAGGCTTGCACAAGAAGATGCTATTTGTTCTGAGCAGAAAGGAATCCAATGCGTTCACGCATTCACTTTTTTAATGTGAGCAAGGAACACAGAATATTTCGGAGGCTGGAAATGTCCATTTGCTGGGTCTTGAATATACGCTATACATATACCTGGAGGAATCAGATTGACTCCATATTCTAAAAGTGGGCTCCCAGGACACAGTTAAGAAAATAAACATTTATCTCTTAGAGTTGTATATTAAATCCGGAGTTCATTGTGTTAAAGATTAACTTTACTCTTTCTTCAGTGTGCTATTAATCCTTCGTAATGTATCATCTCTCTGGACTACGTGCTCGCAGAAAACAGAACTACTTGGTTCTTCTGAGGGCTTTTCTTTCTTTCTTCTTAAATTTGTACAGTCATACTTTATACATAACTCATCTTAAGAAAAGACCATTAGTCAAAAAATTAGCCATATTAGTTGGAGAATTGATCCAAATTGCTTCAGGAGATTTCAGTTTCTTTCTTCCTAACCAATTATTGGTAAAATACAGACAGCTGTGGGTGAGTGGGTTAAAAATTCAGTGCTGCAAGGTCCAACTGCTAAGTGTCTAGTTGCTGCAGGGAAAGCCACTGTATCAGAGGCCTGACAGGAGCATAGGGAGGTTTCGATCCCCATGAGAGGAGAGACTTACCTATCCTGAGGACTGTCTATGCCTCACATGAAAGGAATCCTACGTATAGCAGACTAGAAGCCTTTCCTCTCTTTTCCTCCCTCTCTTGCGCAGATATCCATGGCTGAGCAGAACAAGTCGCAGGATCTGCTTCCGAGGCAGCGTGCATGTAAAACGAGGAGAACGCAGCAATTCTGCATGCTCGTATGCTGCAGGACAGCAGTACAGGCTGCTTGTTTCCAGCATGTTCTTGTCCAGACTTTGAGTCCAGGCAAAAGGCACTGCAGACAGTAAGTCTGGGGAAGAGGAGGACATTTAATCAGAGTATGAGGGGAGGAGAATCAATGCAAAAAAGACAAGCTGATAGAAAACAGGGTTTACAAGGTAAAGAGATAGGAGAGCAGTATTTACAGAAATGTCGCATTCATTCTTTGAAGATGTTGCCAGAACCCAGCGGTGGGGCTGGACCATCTTATGAACTAACTGGAAATTTGGCCCATATAACCTTTTTATCATAATGACTTGTAATTAGTTAACAAAGTTACATAGTTGAATGTGGCAAGTGGTTGGGACAAGGTTGCTTCCCTTAAAATAGCAAGGGCTGTGTCTGCGTAGCCACAGAATATCCTCTGAAAAGTGGCATTAAATTGCATTGGAGCTTTATTTCTTTACCTTGTCAGAAAACTTCTGTCTTGAACTCAGTTTTCACCCTCTCACTGTACATTTCCTTGTGCCCCCACGTTTGTTTTCTGAGGCTTGTAGGTGATGCCTCCGCTTCTCCCTGCCCCGAAGGAGGGATTTGTGAACATCAGGAGCTTGGCATGTTCTCGGCATGCCTATTTGTTTAAGTTAGTCATGCAAAATGGGCATCTGAACGTCTACTCCCTGGCCTGAGCTAGAGTTTCAGCATGAGCTGAGAGCATGGCTACTCCGCTGTTCAGCTGTGAGTGCTGCTGGGCGTACACTGAAACGAAATTTTAAGTGCCTTGGACACTTCAAAAATCATGCAATGTAGGCACTGCTGTAGAAGGGTTATGAGCTGTGCAGCAGTTTTACAATCACAGTTTTGGTGTAGCTCCTGTTCCTGCTTCAGGTTCTTAGTGGGCTGCCATTTCACTGTGCTGGAAGTGCCTAAAAGCTGAATTCCCGTTTTGCTTCAAAGGTCTGGTCTCTGGAGTCTCTCTGGCGTACTCAAATGTTGATGCTTACACTGCAGTCTTATATTTTTCTGCAGGACAATACAATTTCAAAAGATGCCTCCTCTCTCCACCCCAGATACTTCCACTTTTGATCACAGTTAAAAGCTGGGGGGTTTTTTTAAGAGATGGTTTTTTTTTTTAACTCAGGTCAATTTACTGGTCTAGTTTTGCAAGGTTATCTGACGAGAGGTTGCATCAGCATAATAAAGGCGTTACATACAATA